AGAAGCTAGACACAAAAGGTCACATATTGTATGATTCCATTTATACGAAAAACTCAGAATAGATAAATCCATAGACAGAATACAGAGTATTGGTTGCCAGGGGTTGGGGAAGGGGAGGAACTTGTTAATGAGTAAGGGGTTTTGGAGGGATGGAAATGTTTTGGAACTAGACAGTGGTGATGGTTACACAACATTATGAAAATACTAAAATACCACTGAATTGTTGACTTTAAAATGGTTAATTTTATAAAAATTTCACCTCAATGTTATTTTTTAAAAAAGGAATTGTGTTGCTCTGTAGTGTCTGATTAAACACAGTACCTAAGATTCTTAGTTAACTTTAAGACCTTGGACTATTAAATCAGAATAATGCTATAAATCAGAATAATACATAGCATAAAATATTAAAACCTTGGTCCCAAAGCATCATTTTTCTATGTAATCATTAGTTACTATATATGCCTGGTTATTTTTCATGTTAGAGAGTAGCTATACCTTTGAGTAATGTAAACCAACACATTCGTTTTTGTCCCTTTATAAGCTTTAATGGGATGTGGGTCGCTATGGGGGATAATATCACATGACTTTGAAACTTTGCTACTCTGTTTAGGATTGTAATTGATATGAGTAGCTGAGGCTATCTGGGGATAATGGTAGCAGAGATGTAATGGATGCGTTTTTGTTATCAAGAAAAAAGGTAATCATTTTTTTCTTTAAAACTGTTGTTTTGTCAGTTGCCATCAAACTACCTTCAACTCATGGTAACCCATGTACAACAGAACAAAACATGCTCAGTCCTGCGCCATCTTCACAATTGTCAGTAGGCTTGAGTCCATTGCAGCCACTGTGTATTCTGAGTGCCTTCCAACCTGGGGCTCATCTTCCGCCACTCTATCAGATAATATTCTGTCGCAATCCAGTAGGTTTTCATTGGTCAATTATTGGAAGTAGACTGCCAGGCTGTTTAAGTCTGGAAGCTTTGCTGAAACCTGTCCACCACAGGTAACTCTGCTGGTATTTGAAATACCAGTCACATAGCTTTCAGCATCACAGCAACACGCACATGCAAGCCACCACAGTATGACAAACCAACAGACAGGTGGTGGTCTTAGAAAACTAGTTATTCCAAATGCAAAAGAGATAGTTTAGGTATAAACGACATCTCAGTTTTAATGGGTTTATTCTCAATCTAGGGTTTGGTCGTGGGAAGAACATATTAAAACACCCTTAAATGACTCTTATTTAGCAAACATATCAAAATGGAAATTATAAACTACAATAAAAATGAGAGTAATACATATCAGCAATGGGGATGCATGTTAAGACGCTATCAAAGGACACTTGTAAAAATATTTGTATAATTCTAATATGAACTGCGAATACTGATATAACAAAGAATTATGTGGCAGTTGTAGGAACCCAGCCTCAACTACCAGCGTAAGACAACAAGAGATACTTTTACATTTACTATCTCATAAAATTACAATATAAGTATACGGTACAAAATATGAATTACTACAAATATCAAGCTAACAGCTAAAATTTATTCTGATGAGTGGGACTGGGGTAATGGAGAAGGAAACACATAGATGAAAAAAGAGACTGATTTTTCTCAACATAAGCTTTTATTTTATTGTGGTAAAATATATATAATGAAAATTTGCATTTTAATCATTTTTAAGTGTACAACTCAAAGACATTAACTAATATAAGCTTTTTAATACTATGCAAATTTTAACTTGATGAAAAAAACATTTTAAAAAACAAAAAAAATCATAAACAGACCCCGAGTAAGTAGTAAGGTATGAGGTCAAAGGAAGACACAGCAGAGGGTAAATTAGCCAACTGGCAGGGAGGAAAAGTGGTAGAAGACAAATAAAGGCTTCAGAGTAGCTGAGATATACTGACGGCCGGGAAAGAGTGAAGGTTCACAAACTCCTGCCTAGGTTCCTAGAGTTTTGTTGAATTGCTTCTCAATCTCAATACAGGCATGGATATTCTATATTCATCTCTATAGGTGATGATGTCCACTTCCAAGGCTCCAACTATTTCTTCTACTTGAATCAATTCCATGTCTGTATTTTTTGACTCTTTTATAACTTTCCTTTTACGTTCCTACTTGAACTTTTGAAGATTCTACTTTGTGGAAATTATTTACAGAAATGTTCTAGCTCCCCCATTAGACAGTGAGTTTGTGAATAAGCCTACATATTTTATAAACTATGCAGCACCTAGCAGACTACCTGCACAAATTTAAAAAATCAAATGTTTTTGCAAGATTTAATATTTAATGATGTTGATTGTCCTCAAACTGATCTGTAGATTCACTTCAGCCTCAAAGTCACAGCAGTAAGTGTCTGTGTAAATGTTAACAAGCGAATCCTAAAATGCACATGAAAGTACAAAGGCAAATTTTTAAGACAAGAGCACAATTTGCTCTACCAGATCTCAAGACTGATTACATGCTACAGTATGGAGTAAGTTCAAGGGATTTCAGGGCTGATTACAGCAAAAGATATGACTTCAAGAGGGCAGTGTTGCAAAACAAGCTCTTTACTGGGGCCAACGTTGACAGGCATTGCATGCGGGGGCAGTCCCTCGCAACATGAGAGCCTCCACAGGCAAGCAGTGTGGAGGGCCACTGGGGGGGAAGAGGGCAAGGAACTTCAGGTGGGAGAGGAAAAGCAGAGAGATCTTGTGTCTGCAGGCGAGGTCTCTAAGCAGCAACATTGAGTCTCTAGGTCAGAGAGCTCTGAAGGGCAGCAGTGGCCTGGGGTCTTTATCGAATTTGTCTTATCTGTGGCTGGCAGATGCTGGGCACAGCTTCACAGGGTATGCAAAATAGCTAGGCTGTAAATGGCTACAAATATGCTTATTTGGACTACTTTTAAAACAACTGGATGTGTAAAATTTGAGTTGGGTGATGGTGGGCTTTCTAGGCCAATGGACCCCAGCTTGCTATGCAGAAATAAACCACCTGGGGGCTACCACACAGAGGCCAGATTGGCTCTTTTATGTAACCCAGGATTAAGACAGTGTGGTACTCGAGCAAAGACAGACAAAAAAGGTAACGGAACGAACAGAATCCAGAGACAGATTCACAAACATAGGAACACTTCATTTATGGCAAAGATGGCCCTACAGAGAGTGGGAAAAAAGTCTTTTCGATAAACAGTGCCGGGTCAACGAGATGTCCACATGAAAAACATGAAACTTAACTCTCACCATTCACATCACACATAGGTATCAATTCCAGGGACCTGCAGATCTAAATGTAAAAGGTAAAGCAATAAAGCTACTACAACACAGGGTGTATCTCCATGACTTTGGGGTAGACAATGATTTCCTATACAGGACACAAAGATCACCTATTATAAAGGAAAAGGAGCCCTGGTGGCACGGTGGTTAAGTGCTACAGCTATTAACCAAAAGGTCAGCAGTTCAAATCCACCAGCCACTCCTTGGAAACCCCGTGGGGCAGTTCTACTCTATCCTATATGGTCGCTATGAGTTGGAATCGACTCACGGCAATGGATTTTTTTATTTTTGTTTTTTAATAAAGGAAAAAATAGATAACCTTGGCTACATTAAAATAAAAAACTTCTGTTCATCAAAAGACACTATTAAGAGTATAAAAAGCTAAACTACAAAGTGATAGAAGATGTTTACATCACATATAACCAATAATGGGCTCATTTCATGAACATATAAAGAACTTCTTTAAATCAATAAAAAAGGACAGACAACCCAATAAATTTAGCCAAGAAACTTAAACAAGGATGTCACAAAAGAGCATATTCAAATGACAATCCACATGAATAGTGGCTCAACCTCAGAGAGATACAAATAAAAACCTCAGTGACATACTACTACTCTCACACACACACACCCCAGAATGGCTAAATGGCTAAAATTAAAAGGTCTGGCAATACCAACAATTAGTAATGGCAACTCCCATACTGCTGGTGGAAGTGTAAATTGGTACAATCACTTTGGAAAACTGGTATTATCTACTGCAGTTGAACTACGCATATCCTATTACCCAGCGATTCCACTCCTAGTTATGTGTTGAACAGAAGTCTGTAAATTATGTTCACCAAAGGTATGTACAAGAATGTTCAGAGCAGCATTATGTACAACAGCTAAAAACTGGAAACAACCCAATGTTACCAGCAGAAAGGATGCATAATTTATAACACATTCATAAAATGGAATGCAATCCAGAAATGGAATGAACTAACATCAGGTACACGCAACACCGTCAGTGTACTGTACAAACATAATGTTGAACAAAAGAAGCCAAAAGCAAAAGAATACATACTGTATGATTTCATTTACATAAAGTTCAAGAACAGGCAAAACTAATCCACGGTGTTAGAAGTCTGGATGGTTATTTTGGGGGAGGACAAAGTGGTCAGTGACCAGGAGGGGCACAGAGGGGTTACGAGGTGGTAGCAATGTTCTGTTTCTCGTCCTCAATGGTGGCTACATGAGCGCATTCACTTTGCATAATTTATCATGCTGTTCAATCATAATCCTGTGTAGTTTTCTATATGATTGTTACATCTGAATTTTTTTTTAAGTGAAAATCAAATGTTGGATAAAGAAAAGGAGGAACTGCTAAATCTAAGACAAACAGGTCAAATAAGTTAACAACTGGAAAATAGCTAAAGATCAGTGCAGGGAGAGAAAAAGAACACACACACACAACATTTACACACATGCAATTCTTTGGGGGAGGGGGTAGAAGTATCTACTTTTACCAAGTCTAAATACAGCAAATCCTAAGAAGGAATGAAATCTAAAATGTAGACAGAATAATTGCCTTGGATATGAAGAAGGAAGGCACTTGCTATGCTGAAATGTAAAGGAAGTATAAGAGAAAAAAAAGCCAGAAAGCTCCTAGGGAGGCGTTGGGCCTCTGAGAGGACCTTCTGGATAACATCTCAGAGGTGCTATCGCCTAAGTGTCTTGCTTCCTGCCAGATCATCCTCGCTTACCTGAACACAAGCCTCTTGTCAGTTCTCTGTCAACCATCCAGGGCTCTTTTCCTTGTTCCAATAAGGAGATCACAGCTGGTTTAGAACTGGAAAGTCCTGCTTGCAAGAAAGACATGGGACATTGTTATGCTGTGGGTGTCCTCCCAGAAATGAGATCCACTCCCTTGATGATCAAGGAAAAGATGACACTACAGGAAGGACCAGAGAAAGATGGAGAAGATCAAGCTTCAGCCGCAGCCCATTGGAGCTGCCCGTCAGCAACTCTTCCATTCCATTCCAACTCAAACCATTCCTTTGGGAACAGGGAGCAAGAAGTTCAGCTGGTTACTTGAAACGAGTAATTCACAATGAAGGAGATGTTCCTGAGGGCAGACTACATTTTGGGGGACAGTCATCCTTACCCACTGAAACCAGGTTGCTGTAATTCTCCAACATCACTTCTGTGTATAAATCCATCTGACCAGAGTCCAGGCATTCCCATTCCTCCAGAGAGAAGTTTATGAACACATCCCTGAACATCATTAACCCCTGAAACAACAAACATGCTTTCACAATGGAAGGAGGGAAGAAAAAAATGGCATTAGAGGAGGCAATGGAGGGTTCAGCAGAAAACAGGATTAGTGAGCAAACTGAAGGGGCTGGCATCCTATTATATCAGTAGAAAACTTATCTCTTGTGTACAGAGGGATCTGTCTAGAAACATACAAATGGACTTTTCCAGTGAGATGAAACACAAGCACCCAGCTCAATTCCTGGCACATACTAAAGTCTTCATAAATGTGAGTTCCTTCTTCCTTTCCTTTTCCCTTTTAAGATCCAAGTGAGGAAAAAACATGATGGACTTTAAAAAACATCTTACAATATATTTTAGGGTGAAATTTCAGTATATTAGGGAAAAAGAAAACTTTATAAAAGCTTCCAGAAAGAAAATACATATCATAAAATTTCAGAAATCAAAATGCAATGGACTTCTCAACAGAACCATCTGAAATAGTAAGAAAGCAAAGCAATTCCTTTAATACTACAAAGGAAATACAATTCTGGCCTAGAATTCTAAACCTCGTCAAATTACCAAGCTAGTGTGAAGACTGAATCAAGACATTTCTAGACCTGCAAAAAATGATAAAATTATCTCCTATGTAGCTTTTCTTAGGAAGCTAAGGACTATATGCTCCATCAAACCTAGGGAGTAAACTGAAAAAAAGGAAAGGTGTTACACTCAGACACGGGAAAACTAACATGAGAATGGTGAAGCAAAGTCTCAGTACAACTGTAAAAGGCAAGTCACAGAACAGCGTCTGGCCGCAGACCTACAGACCAGTATCTGGGAACAGGAGGGCAGAAGTCTACGGGAAAGAGGTCTCCAGGGAAAAATAAGGAGTTCTTATGTCTGATCACGTGGAAAACATTACTGAAAGGCAAGTGACAGCCGTGTTGGAAAAGCTGGATGAAAATCAGCAACACATACAAAGAGCTCTCAGAAAAATAAAAATCAGAAAAGGCAAGAGCCTAATGCAGTACTTGGCTGGATTAACACATTTGCAGGGTTCTAAGCATGTGGGTTGCTATGAGTCGGAACTGACTGAACAGCAGCAGGTCTGGTTTTTAAGCATGCAGATAGCAATGATTGAAAGAAAAATTGTGATATAACCCTATTGTGGGGACAGGAAATGAGTACTGTGGTATGGGAAATCTCAGTCCACATCTACCTGCAAGGAACTCACTAGAAAACTCCTATTCAAAAATAGAAAAATAGAAATATTAATTAGAATTATAAGAAAAATCACAAGAAGAGTAGAGGGTAGCCATCTGGGGGGCACGGGGTGGGGCAGTGGGACAGGGCCCTGCCATTTTTCATTGTAAATCCTTTAACATTTTTAAAATGTAAAATTGGTTAAATATCAATTTAAAATATCACTACTTAGAAAGCAGCACAATATAAATTTCTTGAAATCTGTAGTTCTCTTATGACTGTTACAATAATTATTCTCCACTAACACAAATTCTTTAATTTTATAATTTTATCGGGGGCAGAATTTTCCACAATATAGGTATTATCGAATAAACTTCTCCTGTTCAGACATTTTGTTTCGGCAGAACTGGCTACATAATTTCCAATTTATGCCTTAGGTTGATCTTACTTATAATTACTCATCATTTCAATTATAAATTTTCCTAGTTCCTGGGTCACTAAAGGAAGAAGATCCAAACTCACAGAGTTTTCTCAGAAACTAAACTGCCTGTTCAACCTCAACTTGGGCCTTGTCCTTGATGTCCGCCTCTCATGTGTTCCCCAGCGATACACACCATCAATGGCACTCCCAATCCTAAAAAGTCTCATAGACCAGAACTAGTCCCACACTAGAATGTGGGTCCTAGGCCTGCAGTGATCACAGCTGTCCCGCGTGTGCTCCACCCAAGATCGCATTACCATCCCATTAAATCATTATCCTGATAACGGCAGGTGAATTCAACAAATATATTCTCATTTCCCTCAAGAGAATGTATTTTTATTCTGTCAGGGACACTGGCTGACAAGAGAAGGGAACACCAGGGGAAGGTCCAGAGTTCTCTGGCTGGAATGGGAGGAAGTGGGAACTAGGCTCCTATAGGAGGACCCTGGTAGCCAGATGTCAGGATAAGGAAGCAAATGTTTACATGGCCTTAGAGAAAAGGGTGAGGAGCCCTGGTAGCGCAATGGTTAAGCACTTGGCTGCTAACCAAAAGGTCTGCAGTTCAAACTCACCAGCCACTCCGTGGGAGAAAAGACCTGGCAATCTGCTCCCATAAAGATTACAGCCTAGGAAACCCTATGGGGGCAGTTCTACTGTCCTATAAGGTTGCTGTGAGTTGGTATCAACTCGAGGACACACAATGACGACAAAGAAAAGGGCACAGTCCAGAGGCTAGGGGAGGTGAAGGAATCCCTGAGAGACCACAACAACCAGAATAATCAGCTTAAAACGGGCTTTTCCTTGCTTCCATCCTTGTCCACTCTGCCTATTCCATACAAACACATGAAGGCCTGTTGGAGAGGAAATGGACAAATCTCTCCATTTCTTCCTTCCTCCTTCCCAAACCCAGAGCCTCTAGGCCTTACTTTGCCCAAGAAAATACTAGGCAACTGAGTCTGGCTGGGAGACAGACTCAGATTCTTCTCTCCTACAGCTCCAAGCAATCCAAGTACCTGCTTCAATGGCAAATATTCAGACCAGATCAGTGCCCATCCTCAGTGATGCTAATCTGGGTCCAAAGAGCAAATGACCTGCCCTGAGCAGACAATCCTAGTTCAAGGAGCTTGCCTGAGCCAGCCCCACATATGGGGACTCTTGTACCAGGAGCACAAGGAGCTTGCCTGAGCCAGCCCCACATATGGGGACTCTTGTACCTGGAGCACAAAGCCTTGCCGACCCAGCAGGATCAAAGATTTTACTGAATAAATGGAATGAAGTTTTCTCACTTCCAAGCTCAAAAAGTTAATCAGCCTTCCCATTCTTAGTGCTCCTTGTTTTTACTTTCTGCTTCTGATATGTGATATTTCTCTTTTATTCTGCTTATGGAGTTTTTGCCACGGAAAACAGAAAAATTTATTAATCTTTTCTTTCATAGCTTCTGGATAAAAAGACCTTCCTTGCCCTGAAATTCACTAAAGTCACAGCCTGAAACATTCACTATGTGGCCCTGTAAGAAAAGTTTGCCAACCCCTGGACAATTTTGTTAAAAAAACAACTGGTTTTTCTATTGGGATTTCATATAAAATTAGATTTTAATGTAAGGAGTTTTGACATCTTTATAATGGTGACTCTTGCTTTTCTAGAACATGGTATGTCTTTCCATTTGTTTACATTTTCTGTTTTCCTCAAAAATACTGTAAAGCTTTCTTCATGCAGATCAGGCATGTTCTTATTGAGATTATTCCTAGATCTCTTTCTTCTTTTTTGTAGCTTTTGTAAATGGGTTTTTACTCCAATGAATCTTCCACGTCTGTTGTTTGTATATGTGGAGTTTATTGATTTCTGCATGTTGATTTTGGATCTTCCTTAAGTCTCTTATTACTTTTACTAGTTTTCTGTCTAAAAGATGTCAGAATGTGCCTGTCAGTTTTGTTGAAAGTCTCCAGAGTGGAAACAATAGGTGCCAAGTACCCCATATTCCAAATGAAGATCTGGACCATCTATGCAGGACTTGCAAAGTTGGTGACTAAAAATTGGTTTTGTGACCCTTACTTAGTTCAATACCTACCTCAAGGGTATTTCAGAGGTCGTAAAGTCCAAGAACAAAGACTGTCTTTAGGTGAGACGTCTATTTTTGTAAAGCTGTTAGTGTGTAATGCATTCTTGTCCCATAGGAGGAAGGAGGGTGCTTCTCCCTCACCTGACGCCAAGCAAGACTCCAGAGCCCAAAGTGGAACAGTGAGATTCTTTGGAAGAAATTTTGCTGTTTTCCCTGGAGTTTAAGGGCACAGAGACTGGTACCTATTTCCCTCCTTGGACCAGACGTGGATGTGGGCCCCATGAAGGGACAATGTGACCCCAACAAAGGAGGTGATCACAGGATGCCCAAAGACAGGTATTGTAATCATTTTGAAGAGAGGTGCTGCCCACATCACAGAAAGTACAATTAAGAGGTTGCCAGCAGAGTCTTCTCTGAGAAAATCACAAAAGCACACCATGAGAAAAGGAGGCAGTGTTGAACACCCATCAGGCAAGAAAGACCAGTAGCACTCAAGTAAGACTGTTCTCCTTACCTCCTCTTCCCTACCTGTGTTCCAATCCCAAGGAGCCAGACGCCGCCGGGTGAGCAGGAGAAAGACAAGTGCAGGGTGAGGAGACAGAAAAGCTTAGAATGCCCCCCTTTTTGTTCTGCAAGTATCTAGCTTGAAGCAAGCCTGAGCTCAGAGTGGCTTTAAATGAAGCTTCCATATTATCACACGGAACTAGATATTGTTTAATTACTAAAATGATACAGATCTTGTAACTGAAAATGACCAAGGGATACCTAAGAGTGTTCAAAACAATCATAGGGCCTCTACTAGTTTTCATTCAGGGCGGCAAAATTATTAGCCCACAGAGAGGGAGAGGGTTGAGTGTGGAAATTATGGGAAAAATAAAGCAACTTCTTTTGCTTGCTTCCTTTGAAGTCCTGCTTATTTCAAAGTGCTAGTTATAAACTGATTTGGTTTTCCAGATACAAAGTCACACCATCTGTAAAAAGTGATAATCTTGCATTTTCTTTTCTAATTTTTAACCTCTCTTTTTTCTCTTGCCTAACTGCTTTGGTTATTACCTCCAGACAATGTTAAACACTAATAATGGTGCATATCCTTGTGTTTTCTCTGATTTTACTGCAGATGATTCAAATATTTCTGGATTAAACTTTAGGTTGCCTTCTGAGAACAAAATTCATCTTACTCCTTTTAAAATTTATTTTCTACTATACTATACTGCCTCTCTAGAGTCATTCCCATTAGCATTAGACACTAATCCTCACTGTACAGGTAGTGAATGTAGTGAGAGGCAGATGGGACAGGGAGAGGGGAAGCAGACACCCTGGTCTTTGGCACAGGAGATAGATTGGGAAGACATGATCCTTTTCTACAGGAATTCAGATACAAAGGCCTTAAGCTTAATAGACTGATTCTTATCCTAATGCTCTCTGCATCTGTACCAAACGCCCACGTTTGTTTTGATTGAGAGGAAGTCCACTCAGAGTACCAATTCTATACCTTGAGAAAACACTATCCCTGTTCTGAGTAGTCTACCCTTGTACCCTGTAATTTCAGATAAAATAATTATAAGGTAAATGGACAGCCGTATGATTTAGTGAGTTCCCCAAGATTAGAAGTGTTGAAACGCAAACTGAATGAAGATAGGTTTACTACCACTTGGGGGAGGGATCCAAAAGCTTCCAGCTGCCTGTCATGCTGACGGCCCCCTCCGCGAGGTAAGTGGCCCCTGCTAAGACGAGGCGAGGTTCTTCTGCTTAATCTTGCTTTGATATGAACTATAAGTATCAGCTCTAAATACCAAAAAGAGGTTAGGAGACAAAAAGGAAAGAATGAGAAATTCTAACTAGTGTTTAATTAGGGTTGAAAAGGAGAAGAGAGAATGAGGCAGGAGCAATATTTCAAGAGATGATGGCTATCAATTTTCCAGAACTAATAAAAGACATTAGTGCACAAATTCAAGAACCCCTACAAATCCCAAACAGATAAATGAGAGAAAATCTTAAAAACGGCCAGAGGAAGACAAGACAGATTATCTTCAAAGAGAGGAGCTGTAGTAATCAAGACTATGTGATACTAGCACAGGGGTAGACAAAAGATCGATGGAAGACTAGAGAGATCACAAACAAACCCATGCACATATGAACACCGGAGATACTGGCAGAGCAGTGGGAATATAAGGGACTCTCCAACAAATGGTCATTCATAAGGGGGAAAAAACTTGACACCTACCTCACCATATAAAAAAGCCAATTACAAGTGAATTAAATACCTAAGTGAGAAAGGCAAAACTTACACCTTTAAGTATAAATAGAGGAGAATATTTGCATGACCTTGGGACAGAAAAGGATTTCTTAAAGGAGATACAAAAAACACTAACCATGAAGGAAAACAAACTGATAGATCTATGTTAAAATGAGGACTTCTGTTCATAAAGCCATCTTAAAGGAAGTGATAAAACAATCCAAATAGTAGGAAATTATAATCAATAAAAGATTCATACCCAAATTATATAAAGAACTCCTACAAATCAGTAAGAGATAACCCAAGAGAAAAATAGATGAAAAGCTTGAACACTGCAGTGCAATGAATTGCTTATTATGGCCCTTCTAGCTACAGTCTTTGTGACTCACACACAATGATTGAGAGGGACTATGCAAATACGGTATATGGAGCCCTAACGAAGGGATTGGTTAGTTTTGCCATCCTGCTAGGCTTAAAATGAGCCACCGTAGAGGCAGGAAGAGAGGATCTCGCCACCACCAAGGAAGAAGAGCCAGGAGTGGAGCGGATTCTTTGGACCCAGGATCCCTGTGCTGAGAAGTTCCTGGAACCAGAAGACAGACAGAGAGCTAGAGCCGTAACACTGAAGACAGCAAGAAGTGGTGGCAGAGAAACAGCAGCAATAGTGGCAGGAGATTGGCAGGAGACTGCACAATGGGCCAGGAGCCCATGGAGCCAGAAAGCAGAGTGCCTTCAGGCAGAAGGTGTGGTGGCAGAGTAAGGTGCCTCCAGGCACTTGGTGGAGCTAGGTTTGCCAACTCACAGAGCTAGAGCTGGGCGCCTTTGGGCCGAGACATACTGGCAGAGTGGGGTGGCTCGGGGCACTTATAGGCAGAGCTGAAAGAACTTTTAACACTTGCCTGAGCAGGGCAGAGGCCAGGCTGAGAGGCCAAGGGCCAGAGAGAAGGCTGCCTGCAGGCATGGCTGAGAAGAGGCTGTCCTGATAGAATTGTATTCTGAGTCATTCTTGAACCTGAACTGTAACCTGTTACTTCCCTAACAAACCCCGTAACTGTGAGTATGGTCTGAGAGTTCTGTGTGGTCATTGCAACGAATTGTCAAACCCAGCAGAGAAGCAGAGTGCCATGGGAGGGAAGGTTGATGTCGGAATTAGTAAAAGGTTAGAGAGAGGAGGTATGTCTGACCTCTACATCGTAAGACTCAGCCTTGGGCTGCTGATCTGGATTCTCCTTCCCCCTCGTGAAGTTAGAGAGGTCAGACGTCTCTGCCATGCCATTTTTACAAACAGGCATGTCACAAAGGAAAAAAACTAATGATCAATAAATATGTGGAATGGTGTTCAATCTCGTAATTAATCATGAAAGTCCAAATTAAAACCCACACAGTCCATCCTCATTATTTGCAAATTCTGTATTTGTGAAATGCAGAATCCCACTCGCTAAAATTTATTTGTAACCCCAAAATCAACACTCGCAGTGCTTTTACAGTTATTCATGGATGTGTGCAGAGCAGCAAAAAATTTGACTTGCCCAATGCACACGTTCCCAGCTGAGGCTGAACAAGAAAATGCTCTTGTTTCAGCTCTCATACTGTAAACAAGTGTCCTTTTCACAGTGAATTCAGTGCCATGTTTTTCATATTTTTGTTGATGACTTTGCTGTCTAAAATGGCCCCTAAGTAGAGTGCTAATGTGCTATCTAGTGCTCCTAAACACAAGAAGGCTGGGATGTGCCTTACTGAGAAAGTATGGGTGTCAGATAAGCTCCGTTCAGTCATGCATTATAGTGCTGTTGCCTGTGAGTTCAATGTTAATGAATCAACAATATATCAAAAAAGGTGTCTTTAAAGGGAAACACATAAAACAGTTAATACCGATCAGTTGATGAAAATATTATGACCAGAGGCTAGGAGCTATGGTTCAGAATTTGAAAATTGAGTAACTTAACAACCTCTAATGAGAATCTACTGTGTGTGTGTGTATGTATGTACATATGCAAATGTGTGGGTGTATAAATCATTAGTTGCCCACCACACTGGGCAAAGATTTAAAGTCTGATACTACCGATACAAGTTTGTTATTTAGGAGGTTCCCTTTATAATTATTTGTTAAACTATACATATACGTATTATACACTTTTCTGCACGTATGCTATATTATGCCATAAAAGAAAAGTATAAACCACAGCTCATTCATACAAAGAAATAATACATATCTTCGAAGAAAGGTATTTACAAAGACCATTTGATGACACAGGAGAATATTTACAATACTTTTTAGTGAAAAGCTATGCTGTAAAACAGTAAATGGAGTATAATTTGATTTTGGAAAAATAATTGCAATACATCAATATTAACACCAGTTATTTCTAAATGGTCAAATTTTATCTTTTTTTAATGGTAATTCTCTGTTTTCAAAAATCTCTAAAATAATCATGTTTTTCTTTTAAAATTATGATACATACTGTATTTAAAAAGATGAGAACTGAGAACTCAACACACAGAAGTGGTGCCATTACCCAAATAAGCAAACATTAGGTATATGGGGGTATTGGATCTGATACCAGGCCTAACTATCCTTTTCTCCAATGGGGACATTATAAGGACTTATAATCAAGGCCAGAACAAAGATGTGGCAGTCTGCTTCCATAAATATTTCAGCCTTGGAAATTCTATGGAGCAGTTCTATTCTGTCCTATAGGGTTGCTATGAGTTGGAATCAACTCGATGGCAATGGGTTTGGTTTGGGTGTAATCAAGCCACGGTGGTTTTAATCACCTCATAGGGACACGAAAGCTGGACAATGAATAAAGAAGACCAAAGAAGAACTGATGCCTTTGAATTATGGTGTTGGGGAAGAATACTGAATATACCATGGACTGTCAGTAGAATGAACTAATCTATCTTGGAAGAAGTACAGTCAGAATGCTCCTTGGAAACGAGGATGGTAAGACTTCATCTCATGTACTCTGGACAAGTTACCAAAAGGGACCAGTCCCTGGAGAAGGACATCATGCTTGGTAGAGGGTCAGCAAAAAAAAAAAGGAAGACCCTCAATGAGATGGACTGATACAGTGGCTGCCAACAATGGGCTCAAGCATAACAACAATTGTGAGGATGGTACAGGACCAGGCAGTGTTTTGTTCTGTTGTACATATGGTCGCTATGAGTTGGAACTGACTCAACGGCACCTAACAACAACAATAATCAAATGAGGAGTCCCTGGTGGCACAAATGGTTAAGTGCTCAGCTACTAATTGAAAGGTTGGCAGTTTGAATCCATTCAGAGGCTCCGCGGAAGAAAGGCATGGCGATCTACTTCCAAAAGATCACAGACATTGAAAACCCTATGGAGTACCGTCCTACTCTGAATCACAAGGGGTCGTCATGAGTCAGAATTGATGTCACAACTAGTTTGGTTTGGTTTTGGTTATAATCAAATTACATAACCTTTTAAGCAAGAATTTTCAGAAGGCAACCAAAGAGAAAACTCCAGCACACCTTGGATACTGCCTGCAGAAGTTCAGCATGCATTCTTCCCTCCTCTTCTGGGCACCTCACCTGGAGAAGGGTAGAACTGGGGGAGGAGACAATAATGGTGTTTTTCTTGGTGTCCAAATTGGTCAGGTCAGAGGTCATCCCCAACCCCGCCCCCATCACCCATCACACACAGGGTAACGAGGTCAGAGAAGAGTTAAGCATCCTGCCCAATCGCAGTGTCTCAGGGCAAGGATTAGGTCACTGCTGTTCAGGGCCAGAATCTGATTGCTCCTCATAGGTAGGTATCCTGAGACAGAGTTCTGAAGTCAAAACCGCACAACTGGCAGAAACCTCGTATCCCCCTACACAGTGCCACAGACGTACAGGCACCAAATCAAAACCAAACCCGTTGTCATGGAGTCAATTCTGACTCATAGCGACCCTACAGGACAGAGGAGAACTGCCCCATAGGGTTTCCAAGGCTGTAATCTTGACCAAAGCGAACTGCCACATCTTTCTCCCGCGGAGAGCCTGGTGGTTTGAACCATCAACCTTTCGGTTAGCAGCAGAGAGCTTTAACCACTGCGCCACAAACAGGCACAGTCACACTTAAACCAAGGGGACACGTATAGCCACGCCAGCACACACAGAGCCACACATGGTCCCACAGTTACAACTGCACACCCACCGCGGGACACACAGTCACAACCGCGTAGTCGCTGGCACCCCGCGTTGTCGCAGTCACAAAACACTATTCAGGGGACAGAATCACAACCCCACAATGACAGGGATCCCATATCTGCACTGAAGCCCGCAGTGTCACAATCTCCCACGCAATGTTTCCCGCACACAACCCCACAACCTCCCCTTTTCAGGCTACTCCGCCCGCAAAGGTCCGAGACCCGAGGCCCCAGCTGCGTTATCATCCTCCGGACTCCTCACCTCAGGCCTTCCCGGGTCGGACCTGCAGAGATGAGCCGCTTCCCAGGGCCCCGATCGCTCACCTCACCAATCTAACCGTCCCGCCAGGCGTGACGCCAATTCCTGCGAAAGGACAGCTGGAGGACTCCCACCGACAGATGGCGTTCGGCCTCTCGGCGCCTGGCCGGAGCCTACCACCGCTCCTGCACCTCTCAGCGTCCAACCTGGTCTCGGAGCTTACGTCGCGGCCAGAGGCGCGCGCGGGGCTGAGCGCCCTCCACGGAACTCGTTGTCTCGCTCCCCACAAGGGAAACCCGACCAGCGACCTAACCGGAAGTTACGGGCGCGCGGGACCTTCTGGGAGATGTTGTTTGGCGCTGCCGAGGCGGGTGCGGAGGGAGGGTCTGGCGTTACCGCTCTGGCCCGGGCCTACCTACGGGTCGCCTTCGCCCGACTTCCCAGAAACTGCGCGCCGGAGGCGCTTCCCGCAGGTGACGCAGCGGCCTTTTCGCAGCAGGGAGTGGAGGTGGGGCTGGAGCGGCCCGGAGTGGGCGACCCGGGGGCGGCCGACGGGGCGGAGTCTCGGGAGAGGCCCGCGAGTGTCCAGAGTAGCGGCGTCCGGAAGGGGGCGGGGGGTGCTCAGTGTGGGAGTCCGCCCTCGAGGAGCGGTGGGAGTTGTTGGAGCCAGAAACTGGCGGGAGACAGGGTGTGTATGATTGTGATGCTGCGTGTGGGATTGTGATGATACGTGGAATTGGGTGTCGGAGAGACTGGTAGAGTGTGTGTGATGATGGCATGAGTAATGGGAGTGATCTGAGTGGTGGTGATGTATGTGTGCGATTGGGTGTGTGAGAATGGTGGTGTGTGTGACTGGATGTGTGTGTGAAGGCGTAATTCTGGTTTATGTGATTGTGGTGTGTGTGTGTGTGTGTGATTGGGTGAAGGATGTGGTGAGGTGTGTGTGATCATGATGTGTGTGGTTCTTGTGTTACTTCTCTGTAGCATTTCACATAGTTGGTAACGCCTTCAAAAAAAAGCATTTCTGTATCTGGTTTCTAGTGGTTCTCCCTTCACTGGCCACTCCTTTTTAGTCTCCTGTCCCGGCTCATCATTATTTCCTCATTGCATAGCTTGCATCTTTTTCAGGATGGGTTCAGATCTGCTCCACGTGTTCTTTCTGGGGCTCTGGCTAAAGGAACAGTAGTTACCAGGCCATGAGGTTCTCATAAGGAGCCTGCTGACGCAGCGGTTAAAGCGCTCTGCTGCTAACTAAAAGGTAGGCGAGTGGAACCTACCAGTTGCTGTGCCAGAGAAAGATGTGGCAGTCAGCTTCCATAAAGATTACAGCCTTGGAAGCCCTCTGGGGCAGTTCTGCTGTGTCCTATAGGGTCGCTGTGAGTTGGAATTGACTCCATGGCAGTGGTTGGATCTTCTCATGGTGGATCACCAAAGCACAAGAGCACAAAACACATCATGCAAACACCCTTAGAACCCCTGCTCCCAAGTATTGCATATATTACATCAGCCAAAGCACATCACGTGCCTAAGCTTAACATCAGTAGGGTGGTAAAGTATGTGACACCCACAGCAGGAGAACGTGGCAAAGTTACATGGCAAAGAATGTGAATGTATAATCCTGTTAGGAGTGAAGAATTGGAACCAGGTGGCGCAATGCTTAAGAGCTTGACTGCTAACCAAAACAGGCAGTTCAAATCCACCAGCCCCTTCTTAGAAACCATATGGGGGCAATTTTCTACTCTGTCCTAGAGGGTCGCTCTGAGTCAGAATCGACTGGACGACAGTGGGTTTTATTGGGAGTGATGAATTGGGACCAACATTCCAACCTACCACATTAAGAAACTTGCTGATTTATCCTGGTGAATGCTTTTTACTCCAAGTTCTCTTTTGTCTGAAAATATTGTTTATCAGATTTTGTTGTTACTGTATTTTCCAGGAATTTTGTTTTCCAACCCCTTCTCTTTATGTCTTTGTTTCAGATCTGTCTCTTGTAGAGAGCATATTGCTGGGCTTTTTTCCCTTGTATCCTATTTTGTGTTTTAATAGGTGAGTTTAATTCAGTTACGTTTATTGTGATTACTGTTAACTTGGTTTATTGTTTATGTTCCATTTCTTATGCCTTTTTTAATCGTATAGGTTTAGCTTATTCTTTTTTTCTCCACTGGTTGGGAAATTACTAATTCTATTCCTAGTCTTATCCTTGAATTTTTAACAAGCATACTTAACAAAACTCATACTTAAGTATGACTTTAGGACTCTTTAACTCCAAACTGTTCACCCAATTCTGTTGTTATTGTCTGATATATTACTTTTAATTTTTAATACCATATTAGTAATAGTTCATTTGTTCAACACATATATTTTGGAGAGCCTACTATCAATGGAGAAAACAGACAATAATCTCTATTTTCATGAAGTTTATGTAGGGGAGGGGTGACAGACTATATATGATAAGTAAATTATATACAATAGTTAGAAAGTGATGATTGTTATTAAAAAACTAGGAATATGTCCCAAGTATAGCAGTTCTCGAATTTTATTATAATTGAATGTTGTATTATTTCTGTACTGTGGTATAGTACTGTAGTCTACTATTGTGTATTGTTTTATCCTTCATATAGTAAAGGCTAAAAAACAAAACAAAACACTGGCTGTTGAGTTGATTCCAACTCATGGCAACCCCATGTGTTTTAGAGTGGAACTTTATGTACTCCATAGGGTTTTCAATGTCTATGATCTTTTGGAAGTAGATTGCCAGGCCTTTCTTCCAGTGTTCCTCTGGATAGATTTGAACGCCACCATTTTGTTTAGTAGCTGAGTGCTTAACCATTGCACCACCCAGGGACTCCAAAGGTTCAGAGCAGATGATAAGTTAATATATTTTTTAATTTAACTAATAGCCAGGTCATTGATCAGTCAGTATCATTGTGAGATAAATATAATTTTGATTTCAAATGATGAGTCTGGGACTTTTAATGTAAATCCCTTTTTACTTCAGTTGCCAAGATAACTCAGGTAGGAAATGGAATAGCTGGGCTTTTAATGTAACTCTCCTGTGCTTCAAATCTGGGGTTATTGCAAATCTGAGTGTTTTTATACTCGATTTATATCTGTCAGTGCATCAGGCCTACACCTTTATGCTTACAGAAGATATTTGAGGAGCAGATATTATGTGAGCATCGCTATTCACTTTGTTTCTGGACTCGTGGTGTCTCTGTTCAGCACTTGATTCAGCCAGGGTTGCTGAGTCTTTTGAGTTTTTCTCTAGACTCCTGCTGGTCTCTCATCAAGTATCTCTGGTCAGTGACTCCAGAAAATGTGAATTCTAGGCAAGGAAGATAAGTCTTTGGGGCTGTATTAGTTATCTATTATTGTGTAACAAATTACCTCAAAACTTAGTGGCTTAGAAAACAATAAACACTGATTTTCTCACAGTTCCTGTGGGTAGCAGAGAGTGGCTTGGCTGGGTAGTTCTGGCTCAGGTCTCTCATGAAGTTGCCGTGAACATGTCGGCGGGGCTGCAGTCATGAGAAGGCTAGACTAGGGCCAGAGAATCTGCTTCCAACATGGCTGGCAAGTTAGTGCTGGCTCTTGGCAGAAGGCCTGTTGTTAGGCTGGTTGAGTATCTTCATGGCATGGTGGCTGGCTTCCTCCAAAGTGTGGAGTTCAAAGATATGCTTCAGTGCCTATTATGACCTATCCTTGGAAGTCACACACTGTCATTTCTGCAATATCCTATTGGTTATAGGGGTTAGCCCTCTTCAGTGTGAGAGGGGTCTACAAAAGGCATGAATACCAGAAGACAGTGTTCACTGGGGAGCCATCTTGGAGGCTAGTTACCACAGAGATCCAGTGTCTCACTGGCGTCAGGTAAACTGGACTTATGTCCAAAGCCCACAGGTGCTGGGGCCACAAAGATAAGACAGTTATGTGGTATGAGTAGAAAGAAGTCCTGGGTGCAGATTCCTATCCTGGAAGGAGACTTCCTGATCCAAAACCTGTCCCAGAGGCTGGAGAGGGATGGGAGAGAATCGACCCCGGAGTAGCTGAGCCTGCAGCCTGTTTTAACTCTCGTTCCTGGAGTGAGCAAGGCATGATTAACATCTTAGCCTGCAGAGACCAGCAGCAGCTGTGGAACAGTGGTGCCCTCGACCCTGATGATGGAAAGGAAAAGTGAGGTGGCTCAGATACGGGCAGAGTTTAGGGGAGAAAGGAAGAAGTTAGGAGATTCAGTACTCATCCGAAGAAAGTTCACATGGGCAGTGTTGACTCTGTTGTTGACATTTGTTTTCTAATTTCCTCATTGCCTGTTGTTCGATTTTTCTTAATGTCTTTTTTAAAATGTAATTTCTGTTTTTCTCAACACATTTAAAATTTTTTTTAATACTTCTAAATATATAACCAAAAACAAGTCTCCTGTCCCTCTCAGTCCCCTATTCTCTACCCAGAGGCAACCACTGTGAACTTTTTTTACTTGGATATTCTGGTATTCAACTCTTACTTTTCTCAGTGACATCTTTATACTACTGATGCTTAACTTCTCAGTTTTAGACATTTCGTATTGACTTAACAATCAGATAAGGATTTAGATCTCTTTCACTACCTAACCCCTTTCTTGTTCTCCCACCGCCACCCCACCCCTACGCCACCACACACACACACAAACACACATACACACACTTCTGCTTACCTTCCTTCTAATGTGTGTTGTATTAGAGATTGCCCAGATGGCAGGATCTGTAGTTATTGTCTTTTGGGCTAATCCATTTTCTCTAATTTCTAGTTTTACTTGAAGGATATAAGCTAGCATGCCAGCTTTATGGGAAGCAAGCAAAGGAAGAAGATGGGGGATGGGGGTTCCTCACATTTCAGTATGAGAACTTCCCCTTAATTCTCTTATTTTTTTCTATATTGCTTCATCCTCACTTTTATCTAGATCTGGTATATCTGTACTCTGGAGCCTATCTTGTTCAGTATTTCTAGACAGGAAATCTCTAATTTTTTTTTTTGCAAGGGTAGGGGAAATATCACCAAGCTTTGTGGAGTGAAAGAAGACATCAGGTGGTCTTAACAGGTTCTTATAACATGTTACACTTAGTTCTCTGGTCTTCAGCCCCCCCACAAACCCCTGCCTACAGAAATACCCAGTGCTGCATTCCCAAGCCTTTCCGGGGTTCTCCTGCGGCGTCCCCCCCGCCCCCCGACTTTAGCTTTAGCTTTCTCTGGTTTGCTAAGTTAGACACCGCTCATCTGTTAGCTCTCCAGCTGCCAACATTTTGTTGACATTTTCTTATCTATTGAAGTCTTCCTTTTCCTTGTGAGTTTGGGCCTCTTCTGTTCCTTTACTGTAATTTTGGTTACGTTTCAGAGAGAGCCAAGAGAAATGCAAGTATTCAATCTGCCATTTTTAACTAGAAGGCCCTGAATTTTTTTATTTTAACACTCTCCTTTTCCTATTTAAAAAATTTTTCGTTTCTCCAGGTTCCCCTCCCCCCTCCCTTTTCAGCTGCTGACAACCGCTAATAAACTTTTGTCTTATGTACTTGCCTCCTCTAGATATTTCATGTAAGTGGAATCAGACAATGTTTGTTTGTCCTTTTGCGTCTGGCTTATTTCGTTCAGCACAGCGTTTCCAAGGTTCATCCACGTAGCGGCAGATATCAGCACTTTATTTCTCTTTATAGCTGAATAATATTCTGTTGCATGTATATACCACATTTTGTTTTTCCATTCATCTGCTATGGACACTTGGGTTGTTTCCACCTTTTAGGCCCTGAATTTTTTGTGGTTAAAAATAATTCAGTTATTTTAATATGTCATTAGAATCATTACTGCATTCTGTTTTATCATGATTGTTCCATAATGCCTATAAACGAGTTTCTGATTAAAATTTTTTCCCAGGCTCTTTGTTATCAAAATATCATCTTAAAGAACATCTTAACCCTTCTTAGGATTATACTTAATCCTAATTATGATGTACTTAGGATAAATCTATAGGAATCAAATAGCAAGAGCCTAGGAGAATGCTGTATTGCCAGTAGATTCATTGGGCACCATCTACGCTGCCCTCCAGATAGCCGCATCAGACCCCGTGTGATTAATCTGTCATCTGTGTACCTTGGAGCATCTCCAGAGCCTGGGCTGGGTAACATTTCTCATGACTCTAAGGATTGCTCATCCACAGGGGGCTTTACAGCCACCCAGTGCTGAAGATTCCTGTCCTTGTTTGTCTGGAGCTCTGACACAAATCTCTTATTTCTCTTCCCTCAGCTTGGCATTCTCAGGATCCTGCCCTTTCCAGGGAAGAAGAGGCTATGACCAGGTCTCTTGTACGTTTAAGCAAGTTATTTCTTTCCTGCCTTATTTTGCAATGTTGTAGTGGGTTACCACGGTCCACCTAGTAAATTGGACAAAAATTCACAGATGAAAATCAAGATGAGGAAAAATACAAATAGAAGATCAGAAGCATGAGATATTTGGGATAGGAATATGCAGGAAAATGTCCATACACAATTGCTAAAATTGAGCTCAAATTTGAATATGATCTGAAGAGGCACAACAAACAGGAAGACAAAGTTCATTTTATAAATAGTACTGTTCATGACAAAGAAGCTTAACAACTGCTTAGGGGGAGAAAGCTTTTCATTGGCACTAGGTCAAAAAGGAACTCTGAAGTAATTCTATAATTGTTAAACTCATTTTTTGAAAGAATTCTGTCTTGCCTAAGGATTAAAAGCTTAGACAATCTGGAGGAATGAATGGAACACATGTCTTTCAAATGATCCTACATATTTTTTTAAATTGAGCTTTTGATACAAGTTGAGGCAAAATATACAGCAATATTCTACAGCAAATCTTGTGGTTCTAAGATCTATAGCTTTCTACAGCTTTGTGGTCTCAGAAGGTGTGGTGTCCTTCATCCTTTTACAGAATGACCCATTCTTCTCTGCTCTTGACTCCGTTTTCACCTCTGGGGTCTTCCTCTGTCCCCTATCCCTCATACTCCTGTATGGTGAAGATTTCCCACTTCACTGACTTTTTTTCTCTCAGCTCAAGTATCTCTCACCATGAAAAACATACATCTTTTGACAATATGATCATATGGTTCACCTATTTCTCCTATTGAGAGAACAGTCTGTGGTTATATATAGACTTGGGTTCAAATCTTGGCTGGGCCACTTAGTGCATTATCACAGGCAAGTTTCTTAATCTCTTTGTGCCTCAATTATATCATCTGTAAATGGGGATAATAATGGTTCTTATTCCATAGAAATATTGGAAGGGTTAAGTGCACATATTAAGTGCTCTGTAAGTTATAAGTATTGTTATTATTACCATTATCTATGTAATCTTTCTTTCCTACTTCAAAAGGTCTTTGAAAGTGTTGACTGTTTTCATTTACCTGCCTTTTTAGTTTAACATGAAACCCAGAAAATAAAAGAGTAGCTAACGTGGGTACATAGAATTAATCCTTCTGTGCAGTAAAACCACCACAAACAATGTAAACAATGCAAAACTTGGGAGTCGTTTTTGTAATACATATAACAGAGACATAATAATAACTTTATTATTATTGTACTTTAGATGAAGATTTACAGAACAAACCAGTTCTCATCAAACAATACACGTATTGTTTTGTGACACTGGTTACCAACCCCACGGCATGTCAACACTCTCCCCTTCTTGATCTTGGGTTCCCTATTACTAGCTTTCCTGTCCTCTCCTGCCTTCTAGTCCTTGCCCCAGAGCTGGTGTGCCCCTTTAGTCTCATTTTGTTTTATGGGCCTGTCTAATCTTTGGCTGGAGGGTGAACCTCAGGAGTGACTTCATCACTGAGCTAAAAGGGTGTCCCAGGGCCATACTCTCAAGGTACAGTAACAACTCTTAAAAATCAATGATTAGTAAAATAGAAAACTGGGTGAAGAACATGAAGAAGCAGTTAGAAGAAATACAAGTGGCCAATAAAGATTTTAAAATTATAATGTCACAAAAAGAGTATTCAATTTGCTGATACATTTTTTTTAGGTGTATTTTGATTCGTGGGAAGTGACTACGTTTTATGAGATGATTCCAAATAATTAGTTCACATGTATATTTTCTTTGCAGAGTAAAAATCTAGAGATTATGTCAAAGGAGTTTTTGATGTATACATGGGACACTCTTAGCTGTCAAAAAATTCATACCATGCTTCGCAGATACTTTGATTTGGACAGACAGATACTTTGATTTGGACTGTCAAATAGCAATGAACTGCCTGCATTCTTGGTCATGCAGTCCCAAACACATTTTAGAATCTGGATATAAGTACATTCCATGACAGCTCCTATCTGTATATGAATAGACTACACAGCAGCTAGAAAAACTCTGTACAACATTAAGTATAACAGTGTTATTGAGTATTTACTGTGTGCCAGGTATGTGCTATGGACTTTACATGGCTTATTATATGTAATCATTATTGGAAGCCTGTAAAATCCATATTATTATTTCAATTTTTACAGATACGAGGAGTGAAGCACAGAGATTAAGAAACTTGCATAACTTGCATGAAACATGCATCAAGTGTCTGATAAAGCTAGAATTCAAACTCAGGGAGTCTTGACTCCAGGGCCAACACTCTATGATACTGTACAGATTGAACCTTACTCATGAGTGAAGAAATACAAATTCTGCCAATTGCCTGTTCATGTCATTTGTCCATTTTATATTAAGTTGTTAGTCCTTTTTCTACTTGATACGAGAATTTTAAGAATGCCTACTTCTGTATTAGGATTTATGCAGGTATCTTACAATCTGTTACTTATCTTTTGTCATTTACCTTTTGTTGTATAAATACTGTAGATAGTTAGGTATATCACAAAGATTTACATACATGAGAAAATTCAGTCAGAATTAATATACGTTGAACACTAATGACTGAAGACCAGACGAGTTGTGGAATGACATCAAGGACATCATACATGAAGAAAACAAGAGGTCATTAAGAAGACAGGAAAGAAGGAAAAGACCAAAATGGATGTCATAAGAGACTCTAAAACTTGCTCTTGAACATAAAGTAGCTAAAGCAAAAGGAGGAAATGATGAGATAAAAGAGCTGAACAGAAGATTTCAAAAGGTGGCTCAAGAAGACAAAGTAAAGTATAATGGTATGCAAAAAGCTGGAGTTAGAAAACCAAAAAGGAAGAGTATGCTCAGCATTTCTCAAGCTGAGAGAACTGAAGAAAAAATTAAGCCTTGAGTTGCAATAGTGAAGGATTCTATAGGCAAAATACTGAATGATGCAGGAAGCATCAAAAGAAGATAAAGGAATACACAGTCTCTATACCAAAAAGAATTAGTCGAAGTTCAGCCATTTCAGGAGGTAGCATATGATCAAGAACTGATGGTACTAAAGGAAGAAGCCCAAGCTACGCTGAAGGCATTGGTGAAAAACAAGACTTCAGGAATTGACAAAATACCAGTTGAGATGTTACAATAAACAGATGCAGCCCTGGAAGTGCCCACTTGCCTATGCCAAGAAATTTGGAAGACAGCCACCTGGCCAACTCACTGGAAGAGATCCATATTTATGCCTGTTCCAAAGAAATGTGATCTAACTGAATGTGGAAATTATCAAGCAATATCATTAATATCACACGCAAGTAAAATTTTGCTGAAGATCATTCAAAAGTGTTTGCAGCATTACATCGACAAGGAACTGCCAGAAATTCAAGCCAGATTCAAAAGAGGACGTGGAACCAGGGATATCATTGCTGATGTCAGATGGATCCTGGCTGAAAGCAGAGAATACCAGAAAGATGTTTACCTGTGTTTCATTG